GAGGTTGAGAACCCAAAAAAATGACAATATCAACTAATATCGTTTTATGAAATCAGGCTTAGTATACTTTTGAAAGTTTAGGAGGATTACTCCTCAATGCTCACATGGCTTGTGTAAAACCAACTAAAGTATAGGGGGTATTGTAAAATTTGCCTTCCCAGTTATAGATCGCTTTTATTGCATAATACAGGCTTCATATTTAGATTGAGACAGTGGACATAAATTTAACTATGTTTTCAATTCTAACGGTAACTAATTTTTGATAAAAGTTAATAAAAGCTCAGCTAATTTGTCCAATGATGAATTGGTGCAGATTCGAGTCTTAAGTACGTGCTTTGTAGTTGTCCCATAAATAATGGAAAAACAATTCCACACCCAAAAAAAAGAGTAAAGAAAAGAATCAAACAATTCTCAATAGTTATTGGAAAAGTGACGTTTTTTTTTTTTGTTTTTCCCCTTGAAATCAAATAGGATTTTAAACATTTGTACACCTTTAATGACACAATTACAAATAAAAAATCATCGTACTTTAGAGGAGAATTTTATTGTAAGAAGTTCTATCCGGTCACCTAGAAATGATCCCACTAACCATGAAATATTTTATTATAAAATTCTAACTTATTCTGATGTGTCGTCACATTTTGAGGGGGGAAAATCACTTGAATCCTCCAAATAGTTTCCTTTGGAACTAAAAAAAAATTGTTTTCGAGGGAAGAGCTTCCACCCCTAATGAGATACGCCCTAAGACATAATGGATTGCTAATGATATTAAAACTAATTGATCCATTTATATATCGAGAATTTTTTTTCGACTTTTATGGCTCTAATCGGGGAGAGACCTTTTTTCCCCCTCTTTAAAGTGATTTTGATAATGTAAACTGACATCCTTTCTATCAGGAAACACGAGAATAAAATATAAACGAAATTGTGGACTAAAAAAGAAAATTTTGCAAGCAATTATTTATCCATAATTAATTAGCAATTTAAGAAAGTTACTATTTTCAAAACCCATGTTATTGGCCATTTATCCCTCCCAAATCCCCAACTAATCGCCCCCACTAATTCCTACCCAATAGAAGTTGGAGGACCGTCCACTCTCCTTCGATTACTACGTCCTCTGCGAATAGCCCTAAAAAAATTCTTTAGGGTTTCGAGAATCTCTCTCAAGATCAAGAGAGGCAGAGGGCAATGCTATCAGTCGCAGTTCAATCCCGAAGAAATTAGGGGTATTAGGGTTTCTGACAAGGATTCCGACTGAATCTCGTCAAGGTGCGATCCTGCTTCAAGGTACAAGATTCAATTTCTATTACATTTCAAGAAAAGCTGTGTTCTTGAAATGATAGAATGAGGATTTGGTGTATTGACATATTTGAAATTTTCGTGGTTTTTTCTGTTCTTCAAATTTTCACCATGTATGAATCTCAATGGTGATGGAAAACTAATGGTCAGCGGAAGAGTCAACATCAAAGTTGAACAAAACTAGGGATTGTTACCATTAGTAGAATAAAGGCTTAATCTTGACCTTTTTTTAAGAAACTGATGTTATTCTTTTTGAAGATGGAAGAAGAAAAGAAAAAGGAAATAAAAGGAGAGAGGCTGGACGCTTGATAGAGATCTGTGTTGCAATGTTGGGCAGAGACATTGAAGTTTAATATGAAATGGCTTTAACATTTTCATTAAATTTTTGTTTTGGACAAATTGAGATGCAATTCTGCATGGAACCCCTTTTGGTCTATTTATTTATTTTTACGATGCAGTTCTGCATGGAACCCCTTTTGGGCAGAGACATCAAAGTTTAATATGCAATGGCTTTAGCATTTTCATTAAATTCTTGTTTTGGACAATTTAAGATGCAATTCTGCATGGAATCCCTTCTGTTTTTTTTTGGGACTCTATAATTTACCCCTTTTCTTTTTATGAGATCACTCTTTTTTTGCCTCAAAAACTTTGTTTTCAATCTGTTTGCTTTCATTTTACATCTTAAAGTATCCTGATTGATGTCTATATGTATTATCATCTGACATTCTGAGTCATTGATTTACAAAATACAGGGGAGATATTGTAAGATAGCACATAAACCATGGGAGAGAATGTAATATGCTACTCCTCCAGAAATAACCTTCTCAAGGAGGTAAGCTCAAAGTTGAGTCCTTCACCAAAAAACAGGATCATTCACAAAATTTCGAAGAAATTATGCAGATACAAATTGAATTCCTGCACAAAAAGACGAGGAACAAAGGAGAACACTACAATTGCGAAAATGATTGAAAATCTACGGAAAAACTCTGCTGGTGGTTCTGCTAGATCTCAAAATTCTTTAAAGCTTGCAAGAAAGAAAACTTATTGTTTGAATGACACAAAGAATTGCAAGAATGGGTCATGTGATGGCGCAATTGGAACAACGGATAGGAGGAAAAGGCAGAAAAGGAAGAAGAAGAGGAACATTGTACGAGATGAAGCTTCTTATCTACAAAGAAGAGCAAGGTACCTGTTGATCAAAATGAAATTGGAGCTCAACCTCATTGATGCATACTCAGCAGATGGTTGGAAAGGCCAGAGGTATGCATACTTTTTTAATTAAGAAGGTAAAAGACATGATGGAAAATTCTGACAGAATACAAGCATAATTCATTATGTGTATTTGGATTGTTTACGATTAGGTTGTTTATGAATATGCTGCATTGTTGCTCCCAATATTTTTGAATGCAATCAAAGGCTGTATTAGCAGTCAGCTTTAGTTTTTTACTACTTTAGAAGTTTTTTACTACTTTGGAAAGGTTGATATCATTTAATTTACTTACGGCTTATTCCTTGCATCCTCTATCATCAGATGTACCTGTCATCTTTAGTAGTATATTGTTTTTGTTTTCTCTTTCTATGTCGTGGTCTTGTTGTTGCGTGCATTCTAACAACCCTTCTGCATCTGTGATGTCATCTGCACAAGTAAACTATTTTATGCACTTAGCATCCTATAATCTTCCCTTCTGGCTTTACTTAATTTTTTTTATGAAGTACATACATTCAGGTCTGGGCTTTAGCCATCACTGTGTACCTCCTTAAAATTCTGACTACTTTATGATTGTTTAATATGGATGAGAATACAAGCTAGCAGTTGCAGGAATTGTTAGGAATTGGAGCACCTATGTTTAGTTTTATGGATAGGATGATATTTTATTGGGTTACTTTCAGAAAACACCCATGAACTCTGGGCCTTTTGCAGAAAATTGCTATAAGCTTTTAAATTTTGAGAAAAACAGCCGAGAACTTTGAAGCGTGCCACAAATCCCCACAGAAGCTTTCATTTTTCCCCCACTGGACCTCTCAAAATGACTATTGTTAAAATGCATAAATACCCTTTTCAAATGAACCATCTGATCACTACTTTTAAGTTCTAATTAACCCCCTAATTAAATTAAATTCTAATTAGTGAGAGAAAAAGAGGGGTGGGAGGCGACGGGAGTGGCCAAGTACGAGGTGGTCTAGGAGGGTGGGAGGGAACAAATGTTTTGATGATGCTTTGCTCTGGATGCGCCATTGAAGAATCTAGCTGAAAATTAATTGAGGTTAATTGTTTTACAACACTTATCTACAGCAAGGAAAAGATCAAGCCCGAAAAGGAGTTGCAAAGAGCTGAGAAGCAAATATTGAAATGTAAACTTGGTATTAGGGATACAATTTGCCAGCTGGACTTGCTGAGCTCGGAAGGACGCATTGCAGACTCTCATATGTCTCCAGATGGATCGGTTTTCCATGAACATGTATGTCGGCCACCATTTTGTTGTTTTTATATTCAAAATAATCTCCTAAACGCACAACCAGCAAGGTTTAAAATTATTTATACTTCACTTTTCATATTCACATTTTGTATTCAACTGTTAGATCTTCTGTGCAAAATGTAAATTGCGGGAAGCTTTTCCAGATAATGACATCATACTATGTGACGGGACTTGCAATTGTGCTTTCCATCAGAAATGTCTGGAGCCTCCACTAGAGAAAAGTAGGTGTTTTTTGCACTTCTATATCCATTGCTACTCTTATTTTCGTCCAGTTCTATGAGAAAGTGCTACAAAAGGGTTTCTTATTAAATCTCGATAGTTTTTAAGTCTAGTGTGTTAAGATCTGGATTTATTAGATAGTATAAGTTTGTAGTAGAATTTCGTTTCTTCTGGCTAGATGACATGTGCTTGTCTTAGTTTTCTTTTTCCACAGTTTACACATTTAGGTAGTTTAGCTGCACATCACCTGTTAATGCAAACTGACATTCTTAAATATGTCAATAATAGTAGACCTCGTAATGATTTGTTTGTTGAAGTCTTTCAAGGTTCTGCTAAAGGAAAGTCTATAAACATTTACATAGCATTGTCTCTTTGATTTTTTTTAAAATCTAAATCTTCATGCAACTTGATGCTCTGCATCCACCCTCCCTTGTTGCCTTGAAACAACATCCATCAAACATAAGCAAATGGTAGACTAAAATAGAAATAAAATAGGATGTCGGTAGTGATGATGAGTTGTGTAGAACAGACGGGCTGTTTTGTGAGAGGAAGATGTTTTAGTTTTGTATCTGATCCACCCTCCCTTGTTGCGTTGCAACTACATCCTCCAAACATAAGCAAATGGTCGACTAAAATAGAAACAAAATAGTTGTTGGTACTTGGTAGTCATGATGAGTGCTATAGAACAGACTGGCTGTTTTGTGAGAGGAAGATGTTTTAGTTTTGTATATGATCCTTGCAAAAAAGAGGAGAGGAAAGGACAACTGTTGTCAGTGAGGCTAGGAAGATGATCCAACAGTACCAATGCAGGAGGTAGTGATTTACTTGTGCGAAGTGACATAATGGAAGCTGATATGTTTTTAGAGTGCCTATAACTATTTAGAGTAAGCATACCCTGACCCTGTTTTAGTTGGAAATGTTTAACAGATAGCATGATTAAATAGAGGAGATCAAACAATTCAGTAACACTCTGGAAGGAGATGTAGTTCGATTATTAATAATAAATATCGTCTTACCTACTCGGTGCCAAACTTAAAGTTTGTCTCACAATAACGAACTAATTCGGAGCTTGTTTTGGGTTTTGTATTCGACCATACTAAAACCTTGTACATTGAACTTATTTAACTATTGATGGTCCAGATAAAGTTCAATTGATCTATTCGTCCAAATGCTTTGAGCTGAAGCCATTACTCAGTGTTTTTATCTAAATCAGCATGTTACATGAATGCAAATCTTGTTTCTGTATACTTCATGACTTTATTTCTTCCTGTTTGTAGGATTTGATTGTCACTTTAAAAAATTCTCTGGCCTGCTATCTGCTTTCTTTGTTATATCACTTTTGCTTCTTGCCAGCACTCAGGTAGTGCTGTTTTTCCCCCTTCTCTTCTTTTTTTTGCTGTCACAAATGTTGTTGGTACCTCTTCGTTAGAAGGGGAGTCACTCTTCTTTGGAAAGGGGAATGTTCAGATAGTTGGTATGATGTAAAGCAATACTATTTATGGAACTGATGATAGTCTTATCTCAGTTCCTCCTGCAGCGCAAGGATGGCTATGCAGATTTTGTGAGTGCAAGGAGGAAATTCTAGAAACTATCAATGCTCACATAGGTACCAGCTTCACTGTGAACAGTAGTTGGGAGGTTGGTAGGTCGCTGTTTGATGATAATTAATCAGTTACTTTTTGACATAAAGCTATCCTGTAGTGCAATCACTCCTATTTGCTCAAGTTCCTGTTTTATTTCTGCATCTTAATAGGATGTCTTTAAGGAAGCAACTACTGATCTCATCACTGAGAATACAGCTCTTAACGCTGATGAGGAGTGGCCATCAGATGATTCTAACGATGAAGATTATGACCCAGAATTAATTGAAAACAGCAACAGCAGAACAATTGAAGAGAGCATGTGTGATGATGCAAGTAGTTCGAGCAGCTTGCTTTGCTCATCTTCTGATGTAACAGATTATGAGAGGTTGGATGCTGAAAGTAAAAGCAAGAAATTGTCTGAAGCTGTTGATTCTATCATCAGCATTGATCCCGGTGAATGTAGCGATCATGAAATTATAAGCTTCCGCAGGCAGCGAAGAGAAGTAGATTATAAGAAACTTCATGATGTAAGTAGTGTGCAACAATGTGTTTGTTGTGTTAATTCATTTAGCTGCCGTAACGGTTTCTCTTTTCATTTCTTGCTAGGTTACTTTTTTTTCCACATTTGTTTTGCTATTATAGTGGTGTACCTACCATTATGCATAGGTGAACTAGATTTGCATATGAATCTGAATGAATTCATGACTGAATTTTATTTTTCTGTCTGTTATTCTTATACGCTTGGATTGCTCATTATTTCAGATAAAAGGAGAGGCTCAACAAGCATAAGTTTAATTTCTTTTTGACGACGTAATTATCTGGAAAAAAATTATCTAAGTAACTGCTTCTGCACTCTCTGTCATAGGGTGGAGGGAGAAAGAGCTAGTTTTTGCTGACTAGAAGTCGTGATATGGGCTTGTACATGAGTTTGATATTGAGATTCATGTTACATCTTAATTCTTTATCTTGAACTGAGAAAAAGGATATAGGTTCCCTGGACCGTCACCTTCTTCAATATCCGATAGAAATTTTTTTCTATAAATATGTTTATGTAAACATGTTTCTAGAAAATTTTCTCTATAAACATGTTTCTTTATTATTTCTATATCTCTATAAACTTGATTCTGGAAAGTTCTAAATTTAAATCAAAGACAGAGGCCTTACCATCATCAAGCAATGAAATCTTGGCAAATAACTGTTATGTTGGATCTTCCATTATTTATAAATATCTACTTTGAAGAACCTATTCAACTTAACATATTAGAGGTACTTCTTGGAGATGTGACAGGTTAAGTAATTAATTTTGGTTGTTGCAGATATTCTCAAGTAGTCAGTGGAGGTGATGTAGTATTTCACAAATTCTGATACACAATATATAAGTCCTCACCTTTTGTTCTGCAAGAAATTTGTCAAGTAAGGCAAAACCGTATACATCTGTCACCTCAAGATTTAACATTGTTACTTTAACCGATGAAAGGTTTTTCCTCTACTGTAGTCTGTGATCTTGTAAACCCATATTCAGAGATCTACAGTTCTGAGCTTTGGAGGCATATTTTGTAAACTCAGTAAATAAGAAAATTCACGCTCCATGGTATCATACCCCCAAAGGCCAAAAGTTCACCCAATCTTATATTATGTAGTTCTAAGACATCAATTTTTATATGCTATTTGTTAGTTCTGTCTTACTACTGCAAACATTTATCTTTAAACTAACTGACATTTCTCAGAAAGATGCTAAAGTATTGCGTTCATGTTGTTCATAATTATTTAATAGGAAATGTTTGGCAAGGAATCGAATGGCAAGGAACAACAGAGTGATGATGAAGATTGGTGTCCTCAAAGGAGGAAGCAAAGAAAGAGAGAATTGGATGCAGATTCTTTGATGGCTACTTCTGACAATGATGTTGAACGCCTTAACATGGTAGAACACAAAGATACTTCAGGTGGAAGGAGAAAGCAGCTTTTCAGGATTCCCCTTGATGCTGTTGAAGTAATCCCCGTTACTACTCAAACAAATTTTCTTTGGATTCTATCTTTTTTAAGGTTTAATTTGATTATTTCATCATTGGTGTTAGATGCAATGTGAAAGGCCATAATAGAGCATCTTAATGATATTGTCGCCTGTTATTTCTTTTCAACTTGGGATTTCCAAATTAAGGGTATGTAAGCCACATACATAGATTAAAGTAGCAAGATCGAAACTTTCCTTAAGAAACAGGATATGAACTCCTTGTAGATTTTAATGGGAATTGACACCTATACAGAATTGAATGGTACGGCAGATCCATAAACCTTAGCTAAATGAAACCGGTGCATGTCTGCTTAGTTTATTGGGTTGGGTTAACTGTCAGTATTATTATTAATTATTATTATCCTACTGTAGTTAATAGCTTCACGAGATAGTAATTAATTTGTTTACTTTCTCTCTTCTATGTGCATTTAGAAGCTTCGCCAAGTATTTTCCAAGAATGAACTTCCTTCTAGGGCTATCAGGGAGAACCTTGCAGTGGAATTGGGTATTTCATCTGAGAAGGTACAATGGCATTCTTCTTAAACTGCTGATTCTCTATCTTTAAGCTTATTATAGTTGCAGTGATCTTCCAGAATATCTTTTTTTAACTGCTACTTGGCCAGTTGATTTAGTCTTATAGACTTTAAGTTCTTTTAAGATGTTCCTGTGAATCGACCTTGAAAGAGAAAGAGGAGATGGTCTAACATGTTTTGATTAACAATAGGTTTTGATTAAGCACATAGCTTGGAGGTTGCCGCCTCTTTAGATATTATTTGGAAAGTGGAAGGATTATACCTGTTTTTGTGATGTTATTCATTGCAAAGCATAAGCAGGCACATGTATATTTTTATGCGTGCCTGTTTAAATTGGTAACATATTTTTTTAACATTGGGAACAATGAAATAGTACACTACTGTTTTGGATGATGTCGTTCATTGTAAAGAATAAACAGACTTATGTGTGCAGTTCTTCGTTTCCTGTAAGTGTACTATGTAATTATATGATAACATTACGAATGAGCATCTAAATGAATATAAAAATATACAAAATGAAATTCAATTGTGCTTCGAAGATATTATTAACTGCTTACAGTCACCTAACATAAATTATCTGCCAGTTCACTGAGGCCTCCGAGACGCGTCACATGTATGTAAAATTTTATTCTGAGCATTCTCATATGGCCTCATCCTCTTAGGAAAATAGTCTAGGTATAATGGATAACTATTTAGAACCTTCTGCCCTTTTCAGCCAACCTTTTGTTGTTTCCTGAGATCTAGCTATAATTTACTCTAAATCTTACCTCGACTTTCGTATTAATGACAGTCTCATGTATTCCCTGATTTTCCTTCCAGGTTAACAAGTGGTTCAAAAATGCCAGATATGCTGCTCTTAGAATCAGAAAGGTTATATATTATCCTTTGAAGGCCCCTTTTTTGTTTTCTGTTATTGGTCGAATTAAATATTGATGCTTCTTCTTTTTTGTTATTTGTGGAATTAAATATTGATGCTTCTTCTTTTTTGTTATTTGTGGAATTAAATATTGATGCTTCTTTTTTGTTATTTGTGGAATTAAATATTGATGCTTCTTCTTATATGATTAGCTATGGATCTTTGTTCTCTCAATTGCGATCAAAAGTGTTAGCCTCACAATTTGTATAGACCAAAAGTTCTAGATAATTATGATAGATTCATAGCATTTATTTTTTTCAAAATTTAATGATAGTATTGATTCTGTGCATTATGTGAACTGTCCGAAACAATGTGTCTTGTTGACTTGGCTTAACATTGTATCAAAGTAATGTTATTTTGTCATTTATGAATCTCAATTTACTCTTAAGGCATGGTAACCATTTTATGCATCTTAGCCTTTTCTTTGTTGTTTTTTGTTGAAACCTTTGCTACATAACAGTATATGCAGTTGAGCGAGTTGAAGGAGAAACCATATCCTAAGAAACTAATCTTATATCCTAAGAAACTAATCTTCAGTATATTAGTTCTCTCGTTTCTACCTAAAAGACTACTAAATTAGTGTATGTTCCCTGTTGTGCCTACGTAGCAGTTGCTATTCTCCTTTGCTCGTGCGTAAACTCAATCTGACCCATCACTGCCATCTCTTTTCTTTGTTCACCGCATACCTCGTCTATTTATTGAACATTTACTAGATAAGCTACAATACCAACAACTAATTGACTCATAGTTGCATGGAACCCGGTTCGTTCTAGTTCATGGGACGGGTACAGGAATGTTAAGCCATTCATTAGGAATTGGGTACGAGGGGTTAGGCATATATGGTACGAGAGGGAATGTGGTACGCTTTAGATTCGGTTCTTAAATGCTAGTTGACATCAGTAATGGTAAAAGAACATTGAGAATCATGTTGCAATTAAGATATGCATACTTTATTTGCTTAATTTCTTACATTTTTGTTGTTGTTTATTCTTTTAAAAAGATTTTTTTTTTCAAAATTTTAACTAGTTTGAATTCTAAATCATTTGCTGGAGTTGGTGAATCTGGTCGTGTTCCACGCGAAACTGGGATGATTGAACCAAGGTCGCGGTTCACTATAGCGTATTACGTTCCTGACTTCTATGCTCAAAAATCCTCCAGCCTACTCTAATATCACCTAATTATTTGTAACAAATCATGCTGCTCTTGATAAACAATTGCCAAACTACTGTGAAACGCTAGCCCACTACTGAGAGTAATTGAACTTAGAACTTTCCTGTTTTCTTTTTTCATCAGGTAGTCGGTTAGTGCTCATTATCCTGTGCTTACCATTCTCCAATTTTATTCCTTAATTACTACGCATTTCTGGATTCCCGATGTATTAGAGAATTAATGGTGTAATTTTAGTCTCAACATAAATTTATTTTAGCTTTAGTTTCTGAGAACCCAAACATTCAGAGAAACAATGGATGTTAGATTGCTCTTGTGGGTGTAATTTAGTCTCAACATAAGTAAATTATACCATGTTGATAGTATTTGTTCTTGATCAGTTTCGTGTTTTATTTCAGCATACGCTTTTATTATGCCAGTCTTTTTTCATATTCATGCTCAAACATTTAGAACCAACTACAGGCAGAAATGACCAATGAACCTCAGATTACTGATAACAGTGAAAGATCAATGAGCAAAGCTGGAAAGCAAACATTGGATGAAGAAGAATCCATGGACGATTCTTATCTGCTGCCATTATCATCCTTTCTTAAGATGCATAGAAATTCTAGAAAGATCCTTCATCGAAAGAATTCGTCAATCGCTACACCTTTGGAAAAGCAGCAGAAAGACACAGATAATGCACTGCCAACAGACAAAATTCAGGTACTAAATGCATCACATCCTCAACCAGATGAATCCTTTTCCTGATATTTGTTTTTTCTATTCGACAATGTTTCATTTTTTTCATGGTTCAGAATGTGATTAGATCTGTAATTTCTGGTCTTCGCTGCAGAAACCAAGAGTCCCTGTAGAGGAAACGTTCAACAGCAGCAGAACTGAACCTCAAGTAGATGAGAGCATTGAGAATGAGCAACTTTTCTCAGTGGAGATTGAGAGGTTGTTTAGTCTTGAAGAAAGGCTTCAGAACTTGAAGACAACATTGCTAACATGCAAAGGTGGCGATCAAGTTCGAAATACAGCTCATCTAAATGAACTGAATGTAGTTTATGTTCCAGTTGCTGAGGTGAAGGAGAAGTCAGCTAAGCATATTAACCGATGACATTCAGTTCTACATTGAGATTAACACAAGAAGTTATTTCTTGAATTAAGGAGCTGAAGTAACTGAGTGTAGTTTATGTTCCAGTTGCTGAGGTGAAGGAGAAGTCAGCTAAGCATATTAACCAATGGCGTTCAGTTCTACATCGAGATTAACACAAGAAGTTATTTCTTGAAGTAAGGAGCTGAATTCAAGGGGAGCTGATTATTCCGGAAGACATTGACATTGCACACTTACAAAGGCTAGTTACCTCCAAGAGTGTTGTATTCCTGAACTTGCTGCTGGCATGCGTACAGGAACAATTTTGTATACGCTAAACTGTTTGTACAGAAAAAGGTGTCTGCCTCCATCGATCAATTCAATGAAAATTGCTGTGGTTGAAAGGCCGTATTTGTTTGACTCGAGGGTTCCTGAACAATAGGTATCGTTCGCAATTACAGGACTGTTCGGTGTATATATTAGCCATTATTTCCTATCAATCTAAAGCAGATCGGGGTAGGGTGAGGGAAATTTGGCCTCCGTTGTTTAATCCAATGCGTTTGTGGCAGTGAGGTTCTAATGCTTGTTATCAGGCATTCGTCTAGGGACCTCACTTTGCTCCCTTTAAATCATTTGCAGGCGTTATTGAAGATCAAAATCTTAGGTGAAGGCCGTATAATTTAATTAGATTGCAACAATTCGTTCTTCAATTGATGGTGTATAGTATATTTCCACCTTTCAATTCAACAATAGGCAAAAGTCTATATATTCTGAAATAGACATTGAATGGGAGTGTTAAGACGTTGGTGTTCTGGAATGCATATTGTACACTTGCGTTGCGGGATTAAGTTGGGATGGAACTTATTTAACAAAAATTAAGCACATACTCTTCAACTGACATAATGCAAAGCCAACTCATTGTTTATAGGAGCAGCATTTGGGGAAAAGACATGCAATATTAACTCTACTCATATTATACAGACCGATACTATAACAATAAGTAAAAGTTGAAGAAACCATGTGTGTAATATTAATAAGAAAAAAAATCCAATGTAAACTTATTAGTTTAAAGCCATAGCAGAGGCTAAATACCTAAAAATGAGACAAGTTCAAATAATATAAACAGCATTCATAGCAGATCAAAAGTTGGGGGACAAGACTTGGAGTGCTAATCAATGAAAAGTTACTGTGCCTACAGTAAACATCTACCTGCTACAGTAATCATCAACCGGCCCACTAAATATTACTGTAGTAAACTATAGCAACAGTGCGCACCTACCACAAACTCACCTAGCTCTCCCTGACGTTAAGTTCTGATCATCCAAGTGTCTCCAATTAAGAGTGAAAAGAAAGAAAGAGGGAGAGAGAAAGAGAGAAAAATAAGAAGAGTTTCTCTTTGAAAAGAGAGATTGTAACTCCTAAGTTTTTCCTCATAGTGGATTCTTCTATCATTGCCAATAATTTTTACCCCAAACTCATTTAGGGGGTTTTTCACATAAATCTGTGTGTTTATTTTATTACTTCTGCTCTACTATTCGCTGGGACCTTACTCTATTGGGTACTGGGTTTGTCCCAACAAGTGGTATCAGAGCCTGACTTAGGGTGTGTGTATCTACTTATCGTATGTTTTGTGGCTGCCACCAAAGGTGGATCCTCCACATCAGAAAATAAGTTAGATTATCATTTACCATTTGAAGGCGACAAACACTATTCATGAGTACAGTACTGTTTATAAATACGGTACTATTCATAAGTAAAGTACTATTCACGGATACGATTACTGATCATAAATACAGTTACTGTTTACGTGAAATAATAAGAAGTTATTGTTAATGGTAGAAGGAATATCGGCTAAGTTCGAGATCGAGAAATTTAACGAGAGTAATTTCTCACCATGAAAGTTGAAGATAAGTTTTATCTTGAGAAAAGATAATTGCCTAGCAGCCATCGATGCAAGGCCAGATGACATCACAGATGATAAGAACCAGTCGAGCCCAAGTCTAATATATAAGAACCAATCGAGTCCGAGCTCCAAAAGTTTGAAGGTCAACTCGTGAGAGAAGACCACCGACTTGGCACTCGGAGTATATTACGGATAGTAATGTTGCATACTGTCTTCTAATAGAGGATGGAGAGCCATCAACTTTTCATGAAGCTATAAATAGCACAGTTACATCTTTGTGGATGACAGCAATGCAGGAAGAAATTAAAGCTCTCCATAAGAATAAGACTTGGGTATTTGTGTCACTACCACAAGGAAGGAAGGCTATTGGAAATAAATGAGTCTACAAGATCAAGCAAAATAGAGATGCAAGTGGAGCGATATCGTGCTAGATTGGTAATAAAAAGATATGCTCAGAAAGAATGTATTAAATTTAATAAAATATTTTCTCATGTAGTTCGACTTACAACAGTCTAAATAGTCCTGACTATGAGCTCTATAGTCTAAATAGTCCTGAATATGAGCGCTATATTTGACTTATATCTAGAGCAGCTAGATATGAAAACATCATGTCTTCATGGAGATCTTGAAGAAAAAATTTATATACTCTAACCAGAAGGTTTAGAAGAAAAAGGAAAAGAGAACTTGATTTGCATATTGAACAAATCTCCGTACAGTCTAAAGCAGCCGCCGAGATGTTGGTATAAGAGATTTGATTCATTCATCATGAGCCTTAGATACAACAGACTTAATTCAGACTCTTGTGTATATTTTAAAAGGTTTGGTGAAAATAACTTTGTTATCTTATTATTGTATGTTAACGACATGCTGGTTGCATACCCCAATAAAGATCGTATCAAAAAATTTAAAGGCACGGTTGGTTAGGGAATTTAAAATGAAGGATTTTGGATCTGTAAACAAGATTCTAGCGATGAAAATTTACCAATACAGAATTAATAGGAAGATTTGGCTTTCTCAAAAAAATTATTTAAAGAAAATCTTATGACGCTTTAACATGCTAGATTGTAAGTTAATTTCTACCTCACTTCCTGTTAATTTCAAGTTATCCTTTAGTATGAGTCCTAGTAGTAAATAAGAGAGGATGAAGATGTCTCGAGTATGCATCAGTAGTGGGAAGTCTAATATTCGCCATGATTTGTACAAGACCAGACATTGCACAAGCAGTGGGAGTGGTTAGTTAATACATGTCGAATCCTGGTAAAGAGTATTGGAATGTTGTAGAGATGATCCTAAGATATATTAAGGGAACCTCAAATGTTGCATTATATTATGGGGGATTAGATTTTATTGTCAATGGATATGTTGATTCTGATTATGCAGGTGATCGTGATAATAGCAAATCCACCACAGGCTATGTGTTTGCACTTGCTGGCGGAGCTGTAAGCTAGATTTTAAAACTACAGTCAGTTGTGGATACTTTAACAACAGAAGCAAAATATGTAGCAACTACACAAGCTAGTAAAAAGGCGATATGGTTGAAAATGGTGCTGGAGGAACTCAGACATGAACAAAAAAAGATTTCTCTATTTTGTGACAGTCAGGGTGCTTTACATTTAGCAAGAAATCCAGCCTTTTATTTAAAAACAAAACACATTCGAGTTCAGTACTACTTCGTTTGTGAGAAAGTGGAAGAAGGAACAATAAATATGCAGAAAATTCACACTAAAGATAACCTAGCAGATTTTTTAACAAAAGCAATCAATACTGCTAAATTTTTTTGGTGCCGGTTCTCTTGTGGTCTGTCGGAGACATGGACAACATGAAAATGACAAGATAGAAAGAATGATGTGAAAATATGATTGATACTCAATCAAATATTTAAGTGAAAGATTGATGGAAAGCTACTGTGTCTACAGTAAATACCTACCAGCTACAATAATCACCAACCACAGACCCATTAAATGTTACTGTAGCAGCACTGTAGCAACAGTTCACACCTACCACAATCTCACCTATATAGCGCTCTCCATGACGTTAAGTTCTGATCATCTCAGTGTCTCCAATTAAGAGTGAAAAGAAAGAAAGAGGGAAAGAGAAAGAGAGAAAAATAGAGAGGGTTTCTCCTTAAAAAGAGAGATTGTAACTCTTAAGTTTTTCCTCATAATAGATTCTTCTATCATTGCTCGTGGTTTTTACTCTAAATTCATTTAGAGGGTTTTTCACGTAAATCTGTGTGTTTATTTTATTATTTCTACTCTACTATTCGCTGGGACACTGTTCTATTGGATCCTAGGTTTGTCCCAACACTAATAACTCCGTTTACTCTGCTTGCATAATTTACATTCATTTAAAATACAACTGTTGGTATGCTCCCATACATCCAGTCTAAAAAAAAACTCCATTTCCTACTGCATTCACAAAATTTCTCACCTGTTATATCCTCAAACTGGTTATAATGAAGCATAGCGAGTATTTGGTAGTTGAATATTCGCTTGCTTGCTAGAGTCGGTTTGATTATACAACAAAAGGATGGTGATATTAATGTTAGCTTTAAATCCAATATATGAGCCAATATATTAAATAAATATGTATTATGTGCTATCAATCAAGGTTAGCTCATTAAAGTGATCTAATTTAGGATTTGGGTTTTTAATGCATAATTAAAGTATGAGCCTCCTATGGATAGAGACCAAAATATAATTATTAATTCTCTGATGGGCTGAATTGATAATTATGAATACCTTATATCAATTATAAATAGGATTGTGGTTCCCCAAATTTGTACGTACAATTTCTTTCTGATTTCTCATCTTTAGAAGGAGTAGGGTTTCTCTAAGGAGGATATATACGTACAAGATTTGGAAGATCTACATCTCAAAACTCAAGAATCACATCCTACTCCATGGATTCAGGTATGGTTCCGCATCTTCTTAATTATCTCAATAGTTTGACATAAACAATCTTGAAATTGATTAGGTTTCATCTCTTAAAGTAAATAAAGGTTCTTTTTGATCTAACAATTAAAGGACACCTTGCAAACTCTTCAAGGACAGATTAACAATTAAAGGACATCCATTTCCAGCTCCTACATGTCACATAAGAGATCATATCAAGAAGCTTCACAGAGGATATAGTATCAAATGACAGGACTTGGGGAAGATCATAGTAACTTGAAAACTACAAAAGTACCTGGAGCACCAAAAGGTATGCCAAGGACAGATAAAGAAGGAATTAAGTATAACAAAATTACATCCATAAAAAAAGGAACAAAAAAATTGCAGATATGCGCATGCCACACTTCATATATTAACTCTTCAGTCCGGATTAGTATATAACTAAAATATCTACGTTGAGCTGTCGACTTCTGCATGACCTGAAAGTTGAGTCTGATGATTAAATCGCATATAACACATTGTTTTTCTTTGTTTACAATAGTATATACATGTTAAACATTTAAAATATTCATTAGCAATCATAAACCGATGTTTCATACTCTAGATAGACATGAGGCGTTTGTGGAAAAACTAAGGAAGGAAGACACCAGCCTTAGCAACTGGCTCCACTACCCATTACACCTCACAAATAGTTGAAGATGCTGAAGACTTTCAACTCTTTATTTTCCTGTTGTAGTCGATATGAAGGTGTGCCCATCCAAAACTTTTTAAGGCAAAACAAATTTTTTTTGACCCTTATAATATCCATCGATATATTGATATCCATAAATCAATCTACAAACATGGGCACACCTGTTAAGAGTTCAGTTATCGACAGAATTTTCGTTAGATGCTAATAAATAACCATTCAAATAATAAAAGTAATTGCATTCGGAAGGACATCAACGCGAAGAAACGTTAGCTGTGCCACTTTCCACATACGATTCTAGCTCATATCTTTTCTGCTTTTGTGTGTATTTTCTCGGCATTGAATCCAGCTTTCTGACCATATATTTATGAGATGAAATGCTGAAGCGGTATGTATATACAAAAACAATAGCACATTTGAGAATTAATTATCAAGAAGAACCTAGAGCTTACATTGAGACTGACACATTCAGCAAGGTCCAGTTCCAAGTGTTCATTGAAATAGCGACAGCCTCTGCATAGGAAAACAAGACAGAAGGATCTCTCGTGAAATCATGGACATTAAAAAAAAAAGGAAGTTATCTCTGTCCAAAAAGGGGAATGGTGCTTCTGTGGAAAAATAAAACTAGAAAGTAAAGTGAATATTTATCTCTAACAATTTGAGAAGGAAACTCGAAAATTTAAGAACTAATCAAGGATATCAATGTTGACCTCCTCAAGAATAGATCTTTAATAGACTGATGTTTACTGCTAACGATCGAGGAAGAATATCGTTAGTGCTTAAATGAAGAGGTTGTGAATATGTATTCAAGCGTAATACTTGGTTCTTTTAGAAGCATCATTTACACGTAAGGGTTCTCACGGGTACCGCATTTTATTGCTAGTAGAGATGACATGCCAACCAAACCAGTATAGAGTTTGATGAGGGTTTCAGTTTTTTTTTTTAACTGTGATAGAATTTTTTCAATCACTCATTAGTAGTTCTCTGGCAAAATTGAATTAATACTCATAATATAATATAGTGAAGAAAGGATGTATCGTTCCTTATTGAAGAAAATGTGTTTGCAATCTCTCCAACAACTTATCGACCACTTATTTGTTCATCGTATTAGTATAAATTTTTGTGTTTGCGAGTAGACTGCATACGCTTAAGAAGAACAGTATAAATTTTTGTGTTTGCGAATAGACTGCATACGCTTAAGAAGAACAGAGCTCGGGATGTTCATCCTATTAGTATAAATTTTGTGCTGTGTAAACTGCTCTTAAGCAGAGCTCAGGATGTTCATCGTAGTAGTATAAATTTTGTGCCGCATGTAGACTGCAGAAGCTTAAGAAGAGCCCAGGAGAGCTTGGGATGTTCGCAATGAACGTTGGATCCCATAGGGGAACTTGGAGATTGGATCACATTGTTTGTTTTATTAATGGATCTCATTTAATATGTCAAGTTTCGATTTTGATATTTTCAATATCGTTTGTCAGGAAGAAGGTAGAAAGTAATTCATGTTCGTAGCACGGAGCTGCTAATGGAAGTGAAATTTCTTGAATATATGAGGAACGAGCACATTGCACATTTCAAATGTCAATACTTGTCGTTCTGCTCCACACAAAAACCAATTTGTGCAACTTGCCTTGTATCTAAACATGATCATGTATTGACAAAATGAAAAGTATTTGCGAATATATTTCACAATATTTGAAGACAAAAGGCTTTAGTGGCACATAGAGAGGTGTTCCAAAAAAATTACAAAACCTCCCTTCAATTGTGTCCACATTAAATAGGTAAAATGCATAACTTTCAGCATTCAACTCCTTGTAGAATGGAGATCTCACAGATTTTCTTCCTTGATTGCTTCTTGGAGAAATTGGCCCTGATTACTTTTAACAAATCGGCCCTGCATGAATAGACCAAGCCTTAAGGTTCCGAGATGTCATGAGCGTACAGCGGATACAAGTGAAAGTGAAATTGAAATGAATAATTACTAGCATGTATTTTTATTGCATTCTGATCTAAAAACCTACTCAAAAGTTTTAAAAGTTATTACTAAACATAAGATATATTCAGTGTTCACTGTAATACTTATTGTCACAAGGTTCAGAATCTTGACACTGGATGCTGGTTTCAGCAATTTCAGACCAAATTAAATAGTATTTTGCAGCTTAAAAAGTAAACATTATTTAAAAAATCGTTTGAAAAATCAGAACCGGTGACACTAAGATATGTTCCCTTTAGTAGTTGGGTGGAGTTAAGGTCTCTCTCAAATCTCGCAAAAAAATGAAAAAAAATAGATGATAATCGGTGATGTCTAATAAGACATGGTATTGGAATCATAAACTAAAAACAAATCCTCAAAATACACAAAAAGATCATTTGCAGAACACACAAGATAAGGATTGGCTTTTGACTTAAATCCCTGGGCGAAAGAGGAGTCAAGCTCAACTAAACAGATACTGAGGAATACAACGGCAAAGAACTTTCAAAGCCTTATTCTACACGTACAATATCTCCAAAAAAACCAAATAAGTTGTAGAGAAAACAAAATAGAGAGCGTTAATTTACAAAAACCATTCATATACAAAATTAAGGCTAGAAGTCCAAAGTGTTGATGAAAGCAGAGCTAATCAGATTACCATCTGCTTCTTATAGATAAACACGAGACTTAATGAACTTGTTTCCCATTGTTTGTCCATGACCAATTTTCAGGTATTGGATCAGCATGCTCTCAAAGTACAAGAGGTATGAGAATACATAGACTTTCGGTATTTTACTAGCCAGATTTTGTTCAGAAATTATGTACTCATTATGTTCTGTAGTTTGAGTCCTCATAAATGAATTATGAAACAGGAGGAACTTTATCCCATATATTTCTATGACACATTATGCAACATTATAATTTAAGAATAGCTATTATTTGTCGGCAATCACCGCCATTAAATAGCTATTTAACATGCAATTAACAAACAAGACATGCATTAAAACATATTACACTTGCCTTCATCCGAGGTTTGCCGTCAGCCTTCAACTTCCGCACCTGGTATCTGATCTTCTTCGCAAAGAGCCGAGAAATTCGCTTCTCTTTGTACCTCAGCATGCTCGCCTCTCTCATACCAACACCTTCATCGTCGGGAAAAATGTCAATCATAGCCAGTTTAGCCTGTCAAAAACCTCTCTATCAACCCAGTTTGTGTAACTAGAGAAGAAGATAAGTAAAAAAAAGTGTTAATTGCGGATAGACCCCTTGTATTATTACCCAATTGCAGATAGACCCCTTGTAGTACAGATAGACCCCTTGACCATCATCCAATTGCGTATATAATCCCAAAGTGAAAGGTTTTGGCTTTTACCCTAAGGAGCTCTATTTGTCATAAAGAAAAACAAAACTCTTTCTCCGTAATAGAATCAAGAAAAATTCAATTATGGTTTGGTTAATTAATTAATAATAATAATCAAGTTAAAAATCATTGATGCAATTGTACGCAAATGACATTTCAACTGACAATTTCTTACCAAAAGTAAGGGCAACATTTCGATTAGTCATTCCCACAAAATTCTAATTTAGCAAAAGCTTGAAGACTTTGCTGTTGGAATGATTGGTAAGTGATATCAAGTCATATGTTGTGTCACACACTGCCAACTTTTGACCAAAAAGTACGGTAGCCTTTCAACTAAAAAAGACCACATGAAACTGATTTGCAAAAGATCTAATCTTTTTCTGTTGGTATGTTTGCTTAATTAGGAGTTAATAACCTTAACTTTGGAAAAAATGACATTTTAAGCCTTCTAATAAAACATGAAAGTATTATTTTATTTAAGAAGACTAAAAGGGCAGCCGAGGCTACCACCATTGTGGCCTCTGGGAGGGTCAGATGTACACAGCCTTACCCCCCATGTGCAGCGAGAGGCTGTTTCCAAGATTACAACTTGTGATCTCGAGGTCACAAGGCAGCAACCTTTCACCGTTGCCCCCAAGGTCCACCCTCACTTTAATTAAGATTACACAATTTATTTAGAAAAAAGTCTACAGTCTTTTTTCTTACTTGCACACTGATGAATGTTATAATGCTATCATACAAAAGAAAATGTATGTTTTCCAAATGCATTTATGGGTTACACCTTAGTCTACTGAAATGAGCACTAGTGTCGGTTACACAAATGGTTGTCAAGAAGATTTCAAGTTTAGCAAATCATATCCCATTGGCAAATTATGGAATACAGGTGGCCGTGAAAGGAAAATCAGTTATAGGTGTGCCCTATTGACTAACTTATATGAGTAGTGAGTACAGCTTTCACATATACACAAAGTTGCAAGTAATATAACTAAGGATCACCAATTACGCTGACCATCTTCTAGAGCAACAATAACTCAATACGATAGTAGCACAAACTACACAAGGATCTGAGATCAATCCTCCAAACTGAAAGACAAAACACATTCAGTAGGAAATCCCTTTTAACAGTCGATAACATATAAAATATAAGGCTAAATTGCAGACAGACCCCTGTAGACTGTACTATCACCAAATTAAACTGACTACCCTTGTAGTTCTATTGCTGCAGATAGACCCCCTGAGTGAAAACTTTTTGACCCTTTTCAAGGGGTCTATCTGCAACAATAGATTTTCACTCTGGCTTGTATCATCAACAACAGAACTCTTTCATGGAATCTATATGCAAAAATAAAACTATAGGCTTAGTAAGTTCAATTTTTTTGCCATGCCTCAAGGGGTCTATCCACAATTAACCCAAAATGTAAGTGCTAGACCAAATATCTGCAATGATTCATAGGATCAAGAATTTAAATGCATACATCAATGCCAGAAGTGGCTTCTGAAGAACCAGGATCGTAAGATATTGGAAACTCCCGATCTCCCCAAGCTTCAATGACCTCCTCATGATTCAATTTGAGGCCTAAACCAGACTTCAAATTTCCCTCTCGTTTACCAGCACTAGCTGTAATACAAGAACCAGTTGTAGTTTTAGTGACCTCAGACTCATCCATGACCTCCTCCAATTTCTTCTTCTTAGTCTTCTTCTTCCTCTCCAAAGATGGCATTGCATTGAGCTTAGGAACAATATCTTTCATGTTCACCATCGGCATCAACCTCCACCAATCATCATTATGGGCCCTAAGCCTGGCTTTCCCTCCAACAAAAGGATTAATGCAAGGATCAACACTAGGACTACAATTTGTATCACAATCGTTCACACTTAGCTTTCCCATTATGCTATCAATCCCCTCAACATCATCATCACCGAAAATAGAACTAACATCATAACCTGGTGAGCCTGGTGGGCTACCCACTCGAGGCACAAAGCAAGATGTCTTAATTGGGTTAACAGGTCTGAATTTGAACGGGCGTGAAAGATTTGGACCGGGAGATGGGTCTTCAATTAGGAAATCGGAGTCACTGAGGACCGGGAAAGAAGGGGGACGGCCAGTAGAGGATAAAGAGGAGGAAGAAAGGGAAGGGAACGACCCCGAATGCTTTTTATGGAGGTTTTTTATTGAGAAAACATTAGGGCAAGCAGTGGAGAGGAGAGTGGCGGCTTCGAAGTAGGATTGATTGGGTCTCTTTCGAGGAGCTCGACCTCTTTTTGTGGGGATGTCAAGTGAGGAGACGGATGAGGATTTGGTGAGGGTTGATGAGCATCCAGAAGAGGGGGAGGGGTTTTTTATTAGGTCAAGGTTGAAGCTGCAAGTCCCTTTCGCGCCGAGGAATGAAGACATTTTTCACAATATTTTGTTGAAGTGCTGAAGCAAGATGGAATGTCTATTATAGTTCAAAGACCTAGGAACTATGCAGGGAAAAAATCCCCAAAAAAGTCTAATTGAAGATACTGGAACTACATCAAGGAGCATCTAACACCCTATAGAGATTAGAAATAAAGGACATAAACTGTGAAATATTAGATACCCAGACGAAATCCCAAAATCAAAGATTAGAATCACCCTTCAAAATAGAATCTTTTGGGGGGAAAGGTAAGCCCCAAAAAAGCTGGAACGGTCTTATTAAACCCTAAAAAGATCAGAAATAAAGGCACGGAACCGTTAAATAGAGGACGCCCAGATGAAATTCCATGAGAAAAAGATTAAAATCACCATCAAAATAGAATCTTTTTCGGGGGGGAAAGGCAAGCCCCAAAAAGGTGGAAACTGTCTTAACGAAGTTCATAACAGAGATACTTGATCAAAATAGCAGCATCTCAGGAACCCGGATGCGTTCTCATGAGGAAAAGATCGAACCTTTGACGAGAAAACGGACGGACACGGAGATGAGAGCCGGCGGCATTTGGGTAGGTAAAAGTAAAACCCTAACAAAACCCTCGATGTACCGAACTTGGAAAGAGACCAGGGAGCATCGTAGCCTCGATATCCTCGCCTTCGTTGGCTGCAACCGAAGCCAAACTACGAAGGGGTAAATAAATAAACATAAAAAAAAAAAGGTAAAAATGCTTCCAGCCCCCAAAACTAATGAAAACAAGCTTCCCCCTCCCAAGACTTTTTCAACGTGTGTTTTACCCCCAAAAGTAAACTCTGTGTTCTCTGAGCCCCCAAAACACAAAACCCAAGAAATTAAGATACGTGAAGACCATAATACCCTCCATTGTCACATCCTCCTTCCTCTCCAAACCTAACCACCGCAACCTCCTCTCTTTCTCCTCCTTCCATGGCCTCAAGCTCATCTCCGCCTTCAAAACCCAATCTTTCTCCTCCCTATCATTGTCATCCTCCGCCCCCAAATCTCCACATCCTACGACCTCTCCTCCATCTGCTTCCGCCCCATCAAAGAATCCATCGTCTCCCGCGAGATGACCCGCCGCTACATGTCCGACATAATCACCTACGCTAACACCGTCGGCGGCGGCGGCGGTGGCGGTGGCGGCGAATCCGTCGGCCTCTCCTGCGCCTACGAGCTCTCCAAGAACCCCGACATCAACGTCGCCATCATCGAGCAGTCCGTCTCCCCGGCATTGACGATCTGATTTCTTCCTCCATCTAGAGAGCGTCGAGTTTGTACAGAAAGTGAAGCGTATCGCTGACAAATACTGGGATCTCTACTCTCAGGAACGCGATCTCCCTGGACATTTACTTAGCTATCCCATTGGAGTAAGCAGTGAAGGAGTTGTTACAGAGCTCCCAAGGACGGAGTTTTTCCCCGATACAAAGGCTCGTGTTATTTGAACCAAGTCTGATTACATGCCCCCCATCCTCACCACTTAGGTAGCATTTGTCTTGTTTCTTTGCTTCAGGTTGTTTTTACTAAATAATAGTGTTATTGTATGTGGGAATAAAAAAAGAGTATCTTTGATTGTGGGTTGTAGTTTGTTGTTGGTGTTCTTTGATGGATGCGAATTAATTTATGCGTGTGTGAGGTTTTAGTATTGAGATATGTTTTCCTTTATGGATGAAAGATAGGAGCAATGCTCCCCCTGCTTATAAGCATAGATAAGAAAAATAAAGAATTGTATGTCAAAGGCTCCCCCTGTCAAAAAGACTGAATGACATCTACTGATCATATATACAGGATCTAAACCAACAACTATCCATCAAACATATGCAAAAAAATGATACGAGTAACTCAAATTCTATAAACAAAACATGATTATAGTCTTAACCATGCATTGATCATAACATGATAAACAAAACATCATTTTAGCATCATAGATTTGCATAAATATACAAAACCTAAACAGTGCAAAGAACTCATGACAGGCAACAAATATTTACCGCACATCAAATTATGAATGTTGTTTCAACAATGCATTGATTTATAAAAGAAATAAATTAAACACAATAGGCCACAAAATATCACATAAGCATTAGAAGCAATATAGTTTTGCACTAACCATGGATTTGTCCACAAGATAAAAAATCACACAAAACCATACATAGTTTGTTCCACAAAGTATCATAGAGTTATTACACTCAAATAAAACAGAGTTATCAAATCAATCATCTCCAAAAGAGAACATTAAAAAAAAACAAAAATAACCATCACATAGAGAAACTCAAGTCAGTCACCACCAGCACCATCACCACCATCATCATCACCATCACCTCCAGAATCAGAAGAGCCTGATCCATCAGCAGAATCCTCACCAGAATTAGACTCAGAATTAGAAGGGATCCCGAGAGACTGACGCTGAAATGAAAGAATAGTATCACCCAATCCAGGTTACGCTGAAATGAAGGAATAGTATCCCTAAAACAAAATCCAGGTTTTGAAAATCCGACGCACATGCACCACGACCGCCGCCGTAAACTTCGTCATCCTCCTCTTGCTCATCACCTCCTCCTGCTCATCCTCGCCGTCACCGGCGTCTCTCCACGTGTCACGTTCCCGGCCATCCGCGTGGAGCTCAACATGACCCTCGACCTCCTCATCAAAAACCCTAACTATGCTTCGTTCTCTCCAGCTTTACTATGGTGGGGCCCAGGTTGGGGAGGCTGATGTGGATCCTGGGAGGATACCGGTGCGCGGGGCGATGCTCGTGACGGCGAGGTTGACGGCAGAGGGGGCAATCTCATCGCGGAGGTGGGGACCCTGCTGAGGGACATGATGACGGCCGCCATCGGGGAAAGGGACGGAGGAACCCTTTCAAATCATCACAGATAAAGAAAGAAAAAGAGAGAGAAAGGGTATTATGGTCTTTAAATTTTAATACTCTTGGTCTTTGTGTTTTGGGGGCTCAGTGCATATTTGTTACGAATTTGGGGGTTTTGAGAGCGTTGAAAAAGTCTTGGGAGGGGGAAGCTTGTTTTCATTAGTTTTGGGGGCTGGAAGCATTTTTCCCAAAAAAAAAAGGGGGCGGGCTTTTTGGAACCAAGGACAATGAGGGGGCGCTTACTTCTGTTGAGCACCAGAGAGAATCTTTTAAAAGAATCAAGGATCGCAATCGAAGGAAACTATCGGGTTGGCCCAGAATTAGGTGGGATGTTGGTCAATTCAATACTTAAATAATTATTAAATTAAAAGGGGAAATGGGTCAGTGCTACAGATTTAGTATTTTGAAACAGAGGATGTATCTCAAACGTGAGAGGGACGGAATGGATATTTTATGCAAACGAGCGAAATTACGCGAATAGATAATTACATCATTTTACAAAATTAGGCAAATTAATGTAGTTGAAGTGACTTTCAAGGACCGGAGTCTAGAGCAGTGTCAGCAGCCATAGCTAGACTATAAGACTATCTCCAGCGGGTAGAGATTGGGGGGTTTTTTGCTCCAGCGGGTAGAGATTGGGGGGTTTTTTGCTCCAGCAGGTAGAGATCCGGGGGCGGGGGGTGAAATAGGAAATGGGAATCAGAGGGGTGAATATTTCACCTCCGGTTTTTCTGTCCGCGTGAGTCCCGCAACAGTTGATCGGCCCATGCATCAAGCCATGTGTCAAGACTTGATTGGTTGGCGTTTTTTGTTTTACTCCTAATTTTTAAATGATATTTTGGGAGATAAATACTAGGAATTAATTTATAATTTTTGTAGCAATAATTTTTATTTTTTCACCTCTATAAATAGAGATTAGTCTTGTGTAATTTGGAGACAAAAAAAATCTGAGTGTTTTTGTTAATATAAAAATCGTGTTTTTTTTTGTTAATATAAAAATATTATCAAAAATTAAATTAATAATATATATTATTTATGTAAATATTAAAAAATTATAATTATAAATAAATGAGTTATATTAGTAATAATAATAGTAGTAGTAGTAATATATATGAAATAAGAAAAAGAAATGAATAAATAAGGTGGGGTATATATGTTGGAGTGATGGGGTTATAGTGGGTCCCAAATAAAGTAAAAATCTTTTGAAAAAACTCCTGCTGTAGAGATGATAGAAAATGGAGATTGTTGAATTATGTGGAGGGGGAATAAAGTGATGTGGTAGGAGAGAGGATGTTAAAATTTCGACTCCTGATGGAGATAGTCTAACTCGAAACTATTTTTATATGTGTATAAAAAGTGGGAATGGAATGTAATTCCAACTTTTTATTTATGCATACCAAACACGATGTATTTTTAGATATTAGAACTGATATTCTCACTTCTTATCAACTCTCACTTTATGTGGGGATTGCCATTCCTAACCATTTAACGAGGAATTGATATTCTCATTTAAGTGAGAATAAAAATAATTAATTAATTCCCAATTATACCCTCCTTAAAAGATACGAATCATACTCCCTTTAAAAGTACGAGTTCGGAAAAATCTTTTCATGATCAGAATTACCCTCAACTTTTTTAAATATTACACTGTTACCCTAATCTATTCTAATTATCTTATCTTCTTTGAATTAGTAACTAAATGATTTATCATATTTAAAATGAGACTTAACATGTTATTAGATAAAGAAAATACATTTGATATAATTCAAATTCTTTACTTATTTTAGTTCACATAGAAATCTAAAAAACATATGCTAGCCAGTACCTAAAAATTTTTGAACTTTGTAAAAAAATCCTCTAAGTTTTTTAAATTGTAAAAACACCCCTACAAATTTAAAATTTTATTAAAACATCTTAAAAATTATAAATTTTACTTATTTCAATTCAGTGAGAAATATAAAAAATATATGCTAGCTAGAAACTAAAAGTTTTTTTACTTTGGAGAAAATATCTTGTAAGTTTTAAAAATTATAAAAACACCCCTAAAAATTCAAAATTTATAAAAAATACCTTCAAATTTTAAAACTTATAAATACACTAAAAACCTACAAATAACACAAACAACCCCAAAAATTTACGGAATTTACAATAAACACTCTGAACTTTTTACAAATTACAAAATAAAACCTTCAGAATTATAAATTTATAAAAAAATCTGATAATTTCTAACCTAATAGTACATTAAAAATATAGGAATTACAAATATCCCCTATATAATTTATAATTTAAAGGAAACACCCTTGAAGTTTTAAAAATTACAAATAAAATCTTAAAATTCAAAATTTATAAATAACACCCTGAGAATTTCAAACTTATTAGTAAATTGAAAGCATAGGAATTATAAATAGTCTATAAATAATTAAAAATCTGTAGAAAAGGCTTATATGTTTAAAAAATTACAAAAAGCCCCTAAAATTCATAGTTTATAAAAAAAAAAATACCATGAGAATTTCTAACCTATGAACACAAAATTAAATATACAAAATTACTAACAACCCCTAAAAAACTAAAATTTTATAAAAAATATCATACTCACTTTAAAAGTATAGATTTAGGAAAAACCTTTCATGATCAAAATTACCTGTAACTTTTTTGAAAAGAACACAAATGATTGAAAATCTATTAAATTTTAAATTTATAGAAAAAACGCCCTTAAAGTTTAGCACATTGCAAATTACCTCTCCAAAGTTTGAAAATTTTCAATGGTTTTTTATAATTTCTTGATTTCAATGTAATTTTTAATAGCTTTATGTATTTGTAAATTAC